GGGGCCTAAAACACTCCAAAGGCCTTGGGAACCTGCTGGTCTCTCCTCTGACTCAATCTGGGCACAGGGATACCCTGCAAAACTTGCCCGGAGCTTGAGCCGGAGGAAGCCCTGCCCTGCCGCAGCCCCCTGTGGCCTCTGCCCTCCTCACACAAGGCTGCCCCTGGTTCCAGGACCCTCACCATAAGTCTCTCCTTCCCTGGTCAGTATCCCAGCGGCCAGTAATACAATGCTGTCGCATCCCGTGCCCATGCCTGAAAGTCTGCCATCCTCCCAGCCTCCCAGGCCTGGGAGGCCACAGGCAATCTCCAGAAGCACTGGGGACCGGCCCTGGTCTCAGTCCCAGAACAGTGGCTGTGGCCTCTTGCTGTTTCAACCTCACTAAACTCTGCCAGACGGGAGCTCCCTTCTCGAGCCTGCTCTCCCACAGAACCAGGCGCTTAGGCATGGGGCCCCATGGGGATGGGGACTGTGCTGGGGGACAGGGACCCCGGTAGAGGACGTACCACACTGGGGATGGGGCCAAGCTGGGGACAGGCCTACATATTGGGGGACGCATTGCCGGCAAAAGCGCGGCCTGGTCCTGGAGGGAAAGCAGCCCCACGGAGCCCCCGCCACCCACTGCTGCGGGTCCTCCCGGGTTCCCGCATCCTTTCCAATGCACAAGGGCGGCTGGAGGCTCCAGAGACTCCCAGATCCAGGCTCACTGAATATCAAAGGTGCACTCGCTGCAGGCGGCAGGAAGCGGCCGCGCTTTGGGGCTGTGGAATCTATTGGTCAGGCCAGGCTCCTTCTTTGAAGTGAATGTTACCAAACTCAGCAGCCCTCAAAGCTAGCCTCTATCTAAACTCCAGCAGAAACACGGACGGCAGAATGGGGTTTAACAAATATTGTGGTTTTCTGTGTCCTGGAAAGCTGCCCCAACGTAACGTGGCTTCCTCCTGCCCAGCAGTCGCGTCCGTCTGAACGGGGCGCAGGGCCCTGGGACACAAAGCCCAGGACAGCAGCAGGCGAGCCCACCGAGGTGCTCTTACAGCAGGAGAGAGATGTGAACAGAGAGCAAAGACTACTGGCAGCACAGTGGGACCCGTCTCCTTGACAAAAGTTTAAAAATTAGCTGGCCATGGCGTGTGCGCCTGTAGTCCCAGCTGACCAGGAGTTCGAGGCGGAGGATGGCCTGAGCCCGGGAGGTCAAGGAGCTGAGATTGCGCCATTGCACTCCAGCCTGGGCGACAGGGCAAGACCTTGACTTGAAAAGAAAAGAAATGTAAACGCTCTGTGGATGGTGTGGCTGGTCCTGAGAAAAAGGAAGACACTAGCGAAGGGGGTGTGCGGACTTCCAGCCGGGGCGGCCATTTCACTAAGAGCGGCTGTGTATTTTCAGGGCCGTCCCGCTCACGCCCACAGCATCGCGAGCATGTCCTGAGCCTGCCACCAGCCGTGGGCCTCAGAAGACAGGGTTTATGGCTGGTGAAATGTTAGGATCTTTGACTGGCAGCTTCTGCAGACTGTGCTGGGTTGGAGAATGGTCTGGGACAGGCACAATGGCTCACGCCTGTAATCCCAGCACTTTGGGAGGCCGAGGCGGGCGGATCACCTGGAAAGGAGATGAGACCATCCTGGCCAACATGGTGAAACCCCGTCTCTACTAAAAATACAAAAATTAGCCGGGCCTGGTGGCGGCGCCTGTAGTCCCAGCCACTCCGGAGGCTGAGGCAGAGAATCGAACCCGGGAGGCGGAGGCTGGCAGCTGCCGAGATCGCGCCACTGCACTCCAGCCTGGGCAACAGAGTGAGACTCAGTCTCAAAAAAAAAAAAAAAAAGGCCTGGGACCGCCCAGCTGGGAAGCCACAGCTATATGCAAAGCACGTGAGGTGCAGCCAACGCAACCAAGGACTAGAGCTTTTCATTTCATTTAGCTTTAATTAACTGTAAAAACACATGTGCCAGTGGCCGGGCTGGGTGGGGGCCCTGGAAGCCTGGACCACCTGGAGCCAGCTGGCTGCTGCCTGGGAGCGCGTACTGCCGGAGGATGCTGCTTTCCTGGCCGCGGGGTCCCTGTAACCGCCCCCACCCCCCACCCCCCATGCCCAGAGCCACCTGATCTCCACTAAAGCCCACTGTGCAAAATGAAGACAAAGATGGCATGAGATGGACACAGAAGCACACATGGCTCGGATGAGGTGAGGAGCACAGGCACAAACTGCCTTCTCCCAGGCCGCCCCGAACAGGCCACAGGGAAGGAGCCTCCCCAGAGGTCTCAGATAAGGAAGCCTGACCTCCAGTGCCTTTGGTTTAGCTGTTCTGAGGCCCAGCGCCCGGCGTCATACCTCAGTAACTGGCAGCTCTACGTTCTCCAAGATCAGGGAAGAGAGTTCAAAGACGCGTGGCTGCTCGGAAGGCAGGGAGAGCTCTGCCGAAGCTACTATGAGTCTTCCGAATTTCTGAGCGACAGTCCAAAGTGACATGCTGAGCCGCTGCAGGGTCAGACACAACATGAAACTCAGGCTCACGAGGGCTCCCAGGCGGAAAACATTAACATTAACAAGTCAACGATTCGCTTCTGAGTCCCTACAACTACCACCTGCCACTAAAGAATCCGGTAGAATGTGTGATGTGCACCTGAAAACACCCAGGGAGACGCAAAGAATCAGGTAGACTATGTGATGTGCACCTGAGAACGCCCAGGGAGACGCGGGCACAGAAGACGGGCTTCCGTCGGCTGGGAGCGCGAACACAGCCCCTGACGGCGGCCCCACAGGCTCACATCCCACCCCCCATGCAGACCCCATTGCTTTTGCTTCAGCAAGTGGTTGGGGACACGGGAGGGTGGCTCCAGAGTCACCCAGCCCCTGGACGGCCTCTGCCGCTCCAGCACTGCCTCTGGGAGTCCACTTCCCCAGGCGCTTCCCCCACACCCTACTCAGAGAGGCTGCGTTCCCCAGGAGGCCGCACGGGCCAGGGCATGGGGAGGGTGGGCTCCAGGCCTTCTCATCCTCAGCAATGGGTCCTGTGGCCTCGGTGCTGAGACAGGGCAGCACTCGCAGGCCCATCCCTCACAGGGAACACACACGCATGGGCTGCTGCTCCATGAGCCTGCCCCGGCCTGTGCATGGCCCCAGCGGTGCTGGCCGTGTGCACTGGCCTCACAGGACTCGGTTTCGCCATCACTGCTCAGGATTCACAGCATCAGACAGCAGGGACTTCTCCTGCTAAATACAAGTGTTTGGACCTAAAGGTTTCGCTGCTCATAAGAACTGGGAAAAATAGTACTGTTATAATTTACTATTTTAATTTTTTAAAGTTTTTTTGTGGTGACAGGGTCTTGCTACGTTGCCCAGGCTGGTCTCGAACTCCTGGGCTCAAGTGATCCAGCTTGAGCCCCTAAACTGCTAAGATTATAGGCATGAGCCACTGCTCCTGGCCTGTTATAATTTTAAATAAATAAAATTTACTAAGAAAAGATTTATCTAAGTGTTGAAGAGTATAGTTTTCTCTGTGGGCATTTTGGTACTGAGTGCATCCTGATGCACTCCGGGGGAGGCCCGGGACTCCATCCGCCGCACACACTTCCTTACATCTACTGGCTCCTCCTGGCGCACTCTGGGGGAGCCCGGGACTCAGGCCGCCACACACGCTTCCTTACATCTACTGGCTCCTCCTGACACAGTCTGGGGGAGCCCGGGGACTCAGGCCGCCGCACACGCTTCCTTATGTCTACTCGCTCCCACACTCGTGGGCACTCTGCTCCCTTGATGCAGCCACGCAACTGGTGGGCACAGAACCAGCTGGTTCCGACCAGGTCGTGTCAGATTTGCAAATGGAAAAGGAATTCCTGAAATAATTCATTGCTTCTTGCTTTAAGAAAAACACGGAAACAATGAACAGATGTAAGCATGCAAAGCCACACGCCCTGACGGTGCACGCTGAGCCAGGTAGCACCCAGCAGCCAGGAAACCCATGAGTGACAGTGGCCGAGGTGGCCTGGTCCTATGCAATGACAGGTACCTGCCTTTTCAGGTGATTAAAATCAGGAATAAGGTTCTTTTATATTTACACTTTAACATATTCTGATGTTCTTCCTTTCTTTGATTCGAACCAAATTTCCAGCATCTCTGGTGCTCAAAAGGAATGAAAATATGTGAGGAATAAAGGCATGAAGACAGTGATCTCTACCGCAAGGACATAGGCCCTAAGGCCTGAGACTGTGAAAGGGGCAGGCAAAGATCCGCGCCCAGACAGGCTGCCCCTGCTCTCCCGGGAAGGGGGCCGAGAGCCAGAGAGGTCAGGGCAGAGACAGCCTGAGTGAGAGGCCCAGGCCAGGGCCTTTACCAGCAAAGACCGGCGCTTCCACCTGCGCCCCGAGGTCAGGGAGAAAGGCAGGGGTGGGAGTGGTCATCCTTCCCAAGGTCTTGGAATCAGGTCCACTTATCAAGCCACCATGTGTCCCATGACATTCTGGAGGCCTCTGGGCCCAATGGAGGGTGCACCCACTATCCTCTGATCCTGTCCTGCCCACTGGGCAGCTGCCCTCTTCCCGTCCTCTAGTATTGACTGCGTTGTGTGGACGGGGAGGACCTCCGATCCCCTCCACCAAACAAAGCACAAGCCAAAGTGCCCCCCAGCGTTAGCGCCGTGAGCAACATGAACCTTCTCTATGCCGAGGTGCACACAGCCTGAGTGTCCACGGGGGTTGGGCCCGTGGGTGCTCTGCCTCTGCTCCAGGGCAGCGGTGGGGAGACCACACCTGTGAGATGCCTATGATCACACGTGTGGCCATCCGTCTGTAGGTGCCTGGGACCTGGAAGCCCAGGAGCTCCCACATCCAGGGAGGAGGCACAGATCAGATCACAAGCGCTCACCACTGCCATCCGTGCATACTGGGAAGGCTGACGGCAGAGGCTAAGGAAAGGGAGAGGCCAGGAAAAGTGTGTGAAGATACATACCAAACACACAACGCTCAACTCTCGCAGAGCTTTCTCTAAATGCATCTCACTTACCGAAGGAGTACCTGAAAAACCAAAGAAGAAACGTGTATTAACACTTTGGCTTGTCTTGACCAAAACCCAGTTTCCCCCTCTGAGTGAAGCCCACCCCGGCGCCCAGGACAGTGTGGGGTCAGGGAAACCCTGCCAGGGGGACCTGCCCGCTGGGCATTAGGGGAACAGGAGCCCCTCCCCACGGCCCGCACACAGGCAGGCCCAGAACAGGCAACCAAAACACATTCCCAGATACACCTACTATGTACCCACAGAAATTAAAAATACGTATTTTGCGGATGAGTGAATTAATACTTATTTTTTTGCAGCATCAATTAAATGCCACAAAAAATGTCACCCTTTGGAATCTGAAAATTTAAGGACATCACATGACATTGAGCGCAGATCATTAGAAAATGGATCTTAAATGAAAGGAATTGGTGGGAAAGGCTGGGAAAGGCCTGAATCGCAACCAAAAGGGGCTTCAGTGATGCTGTGACCTGCTTCTCACCCTCAGACAGCAGAGCCGCGGGCAAGTAGCACGCGTGTCTAGAGGACCCCAAATCACAAATGTGGAACCCCCCGACATGCACCAAACACACAGCTTCCAACACATCCCATACCTGGCTCAGCCTCTGGCCTCTCTAAACCCACCCCACCTCACAGCAAGACCTACCCTTGGACTCTAGAAGAAACCCCCTCTGCCACCTATGGTCCTGCAAGAGGCCGGCAGGATGCACCGATGCCCGTGTGAGGAGCCCTGCCTCAGGTGCTCAGTGCCATGCCCGACGCAGAAGGCACAGTATGTGGTTCGTGGACAAGAAATGTACACAACAGGCCAGTCCACAGACACAGGCTGTAGATCACCAGGTTTCTTCTGGGGTTGATCAGAATTTTTTTTTTTTGAGACACGGTCTCATTCCATCACCCAGGCTGGAGTGCAGTGGTGCATAAGCTCACTACAACCTCAACCTCCTGGGCTGAAGCAATGCTCCCGCCTCAGCCTCCCAGGTTGCTGGGACCACAGGTCTGCACCATGATGCCCCACTAATTTTTGTATTTTCTATAGAGGTTCTGCCATGTTGCCCTGGCTGGTCTAACTCCTGGACTCAGGCGATCCTCCTGCCTCCGCCTCTCTAAGTGCTGGGATGACGGATGTGAGCTGCCCCGGCCAGAATGTTTTAAACTTGGTGCTGATGGCGTCAGGGTCCACGAATATGTACATTGACTTGTACACTTTATATCAGGGCTGTCTAATCTTTTGGCTTCCGTGGGCCACAGTGGAAGAAGAAAAATTGTCTTGGGTCACACGTAAAATATACTAACACTACTGATGGCTGATGAGCTAAAAACAAAACAACTCATAATGTTTTAAGAAAGTTTATGAATTTGCTTTGGGCTGCATTCAAAGCCATCCTGAGCCGTGTGTGGACAAGCTTGCTTTAAATGCAGTTTTACAGTATGTGAATTACATCTCGCTGAAGACATGAAGCAGCAACGCTGCCTAACGAAATCTGTAGGAACGAAAGGCTACAGGGTGTGGGGCGGCCCGCAGGGCTCACTGCCCGTCCCAAGGCTCCCTACACCATCCGACCTTTGGATATGTCTGTGATTTTCCCCCTTGACATTACAATAAAAGCACAGCGAAGGCCATGACAAACGATATCTGAGGTGTGAGGGAGGTGGGCGGGGACAGAGCGCTGGAAGGCTCATTCTTCAACCACATCAGGTGTGTGGCTGCCTCAGCGGCTCCGATGTCTTTTTAAACCATCCTTTACCCGGTAGAGATCCACACTATTTATAGGTAAAAGAGGATTAAGTCTGGATTTGCTTTTCACTCCAGAGGAAGGAGGTTGGGAGGGAGAGAGGGCACCCTGTGGGCTGAGGAAGGAGGCTGGGAGGGAGGACACTCCATGGGCTGAGGAAAGAGGCTGAGGAAGGAGGCTGGGAGGGAGAGACGGCACCCTGTGGGCTGAGGAAGGAGGCTGGGAGAGAGAGGCACCCGTGGGTGAGGAAGGAGGCTGGGAGGAGAGACGGCACCCTGTGGGCTGAGGAAAGAGGCTGAGGAAGGAGGCTGGGAGGGAGAGACGGCACCCTGTGGGCTGAGGAAGGAGGCTGGGAGAGAGGGCACCCCGTGGGCTGAGGAAGGAGGGTGGGAGGGAGAGAGGGTACCCCGTGGACTGAGGAAGGAGGCTGGGAGGGACAGAGTGCAGCCCATGGGCTGCATGATGCACTCCCTGCCCCCATTTCCATGACCAAAACCTTCCAAGCAGCCGCTATACATACTGGCTAATGCTAGAAATAAATTTATCCCCAAAATGTTCCCAATACATAACCTTAGTTGAATGGAGAAAGGAAAAGGAGCTGATTTTTAAAATCCATAAAGAATAAAAGCTTTGCTCTTTTATTAGCCAGGTGTGGTGACGCACGCCTGCAGTCCCAGTGGCTTTGGGGCCGAGGTTGGAAGATGGCTTAAGCCCAGGAGTTCCAGGCTGCAGTGAGCCAAGATCGTGCTGCTATTGCAGTCCAGCCTGGGCGACAGGGCAAGAGACCCGATCTAAAAAGATGCAGCCTCACGCTTTTATCAGAAGGGACCAAGGCCTGGAAGAGTTTCAGTGACTCAGTGCCACCAAAATACAAGTGTTGAGTGGAGAAGGGGTGAGCCCAGATGCAGCTGCCTTCACGTCGGCTGAGGGTGTTTCAAAACGCATTCTTCTGTCACTCCACCTGCTTTGAATTTTGAATTTCAAGGCTGCCTGATAAAAGATTCTTTAAATAGCAGGTTTGAGCTAAGGTAATGACATGAAAAACTAAAACGTCTTATTACTTTCACAGCTTTTATTATATTCCCAACAGCTGGGACTTACGTTAGCAGACACCGACTCCATGGAGTTCTTTTAGGGTTTGTTCTGCTGTTTTGTTCTTTAAAGAAACTCAAGTCCTTCCTCGGACGGTGGGACGTAGACTTTGCTTTTGGATGGTCGGGGTTAACGCGCTCCCTCTGACCGCCTTGTGAGGTCAGGAACCTGCTCCCCTGTGAGCCCCCACACCCGACTGACAGGCCGTTGGGGTATCTGTGCTAGGGAGGCAGCCAGACCCCGGATGGCCTGCAGATGCTGCACACGGCCCCCGCACAGGCCCTGCCCCCTTGCACTTCACAGGGCTCCCGTTTCTACAGGAAGCCTTTGATTTAAAAGCACATTTGGTTCCAGCTATTTATCATCTGTAAAAAGGCCTCATGTAAATATTGTTAAATTTTATGCTCCCCATTTTGGGGCAGGCTAGTTGTAAATTTGTAAGAAATCTTCCACTTTCTGGCCTAGCACAAAGAACTTTGCTGGAGGCCTATCTAGAAAGTGTGTAGTAGGAACTTAATCATGAACCATGCTCTCCTGAACCACCCCCGGTTCCTGACTTGTGTCTGCAGCTGACCACATCATCAAGACTGAAGTCTTTGTCATGTGGTGAAGGCCTAACGTGTGGATTTATTTACAGAGTTACCAACAAAAATACCACAGGAAAAGAACAGCACCTTTGGGTGAGAACAGCTGGGGGGCTTCCATGTCTACCCGCCCCACAGGAGAGGGGGTGCAGCACCCACCAGACTGCTGTGCCTCCCACCCAGTCGCCAGGACGGGGTGCCGGCTAGCACTGGCAACGTCGGAACGCTGGGTCCCGCTGTGCAGGGCCATGGCTTGCCTGGCACAGGAAAGTGCTAGACTGAACGGTGGCTTGCAGGGACAGCAAGGATGGTGCTGGACGGCGGCTCATGGGGATGGTGGGGGCGGGGCTGGACAGCGGCTCGCGGGGACGGACGGCAGCTCGCGGGGACGGCGGGGACGGGGCTGGACGGCAGCTCGCGGGGACGGCGGGGACGGGGCTGGACGGCGGCTCGCGGGGACGGCGGGGACGGGGCTGGACGGCGGCTCGCGGGGACGGCGGGGGCGGGGCTGGACCACACATACCAGGTCATCAGCACCAGTGAGGCAACTGGCTCACTGCAGACACGACCGCTGCCACCCCAATGTTTAAGTTCATACAACAGAGAAAACAAAATGGTAATAACAAGAGGTGTCTTCACAAACATCTGTTGCCTGTTGCCACTTACTGGAGCTGCCAAGAGGAAGTCCAGGTCCCAGGGCTGTTGGGAGGACCCAGGCTTTGAAGCCAGGCAGAGCAGGGAGCACCCAGTGCGTGCACGGCTCCCAAGGACAGACGGATGGATAGACAGACAGACGGACAGATAGACGAACGGATGGATGGGTGGTGCTCCCATTACTGTGCGAAAACCAACCTCACAGTACATATTCCATTCACTACAGGTGAGCAATTTAAAACAGGATGTAAATAGCCCTTAAAAGTGTAAGGAAAAAGTGCTGGAGGCTGTTTGGACGCAGCACCAAAGGCAGCTGTGAAAATAGGGAAGACGGTAGACTGGACTCCACAGAGGAACCCCGTGCGCAAAGCAAAGTCCGTTGCATGCAGAATGGGATGCGGCCGAGGGCTCACACCTTCCACGCGCGTTTACCTTCTCCTGGAGGCAAAGGCCCAATTCCCGGACAGCAGGGCCTCTTACAGATGGACAAACAAAGAACATTCACACCAAAGGGAACGGCAAAGGCAAAACACAAATCCCCAGAGAAACAAAAAAGAGCAAAACCAAGAAAAATTCCTTGGCAGAGAAATGTGTATTTAAATAACATTATTTTCACTTATAAACGCTCTGGTTTTTCGGAAATGGGATGTTCTGAGTAGGGAACAGGACAACAGCACGCTGCCCCTGCCGTGAGCGTGCAGCTCTGGGTGCAGGCTGGCGGCACCCGTCCACCAGGCACCACGCACACCCTGACCCAGCCGCCCACCTTGGGAGCTTAGTTCACTCCGCAAGTCACAACCCTGCAAAATATCCCCACGCCACAAAGCCGGCCACGGAGGCGCCACTTCCAGCAGTAAAAAACCAGAGCCACCACCGACGCGCCGGCCAGTGGGCTTGGCGCAATGAGCAAACTCGTAACAGACCGCCCTGTGGCCA